CGACGAGTATACTCGTGATAATACAAAACGTTGCTACTTCTTCGTGACGAGTGCACTCGTGACAAACAGCTCACTGGTTAACGCGTTCACTGCTGCGTCGCACAGTAGTCGGTTTCCATACAAAAAGCGGAAAACGTGAGTTTGAACAAATATCCCTATAATGCATAATTCATTCACTGGTAGTCAATTAAACATGTGGCTTATTTTTTACTATGATCTTTTTTACCATTTGTTCATTTTGGACACGGCTACGTGGCATCAAAGTAGCCCATCTCCAAATCATCCTGAAATATCATCATTTATAATTATTTTGTTCTTTGAAAATAAATAATTTCTACAGAATTTAATGTACTTAATATGTACTTAAATTATGTCACAGAATACTTTCTTATCTCTCACATTTTTTGAGTCATGTTCGATTGAATATGTTGAAGTTTCATTTAATTTTTTAATTATCAGATCAGTAGAGTTCAGTGTTCGCTTCGAACGCATTTTCAAGAGTGACGCCTTACATTAATAACACAATAAAAATTGGCTGCTATTAGCTACTATTGGAGAAATCATCTAATAATAATGCCAAAATGGCACGTGCCACAAAGCATAGCGTGCTACTTATGGGGTATCAAGTTACGCGAGATGTTTTTAATAGGTTGAGTAAAATATAAATATTTCAACTATTCGCACTCTACTGGAATTAATGAGAATAATTATAAATTATTGTTTTTTATTATATACAGACTTTTGCTCACATCCGACCCGTCCATGTCGAATATGAGGAAAAGAACGACCAAGAAATCGAAACCATTTCTCAAAGAAACAATCAAACTACTGGTTTCGGAACAATATAGGGATAATTGAATTGAAAATAAAAATTATGTTTTTAAAAAATCTGTTTATAAACAATTCAAACACTGCATTTTGTTTTTATTATCATATCCGAACAAAAACCCAAATATCCGTACTAGTAATATAAAATGAAAAAGTAAGGCTTAAATATATAATTTTAGTTGTTATATGTTTTTCCCGCTTTTTTTGTATGGAAACCGTCCACTGTGCGTCGGTCATACGTGACCAACAGTATTCTTTTATCAAACTTGAAAATTAATTTGTATTACAATTTATTAAGGAGTTAGGACACTTTGACACGTTCGAAAATTAATTACACTATAAAACGACAGCAGAAAAAAAGTGAATATTTGATTAATATCTATTTTTGTAGATTACTTTACATTGATAGAATCTATTAAAAAACAGCGTTAAATCCGTTTTAAATGTTATTTATTTTAAGTTTTAACAGTATCGCTCTAAAATTTGAAAAAGTGCTTCAAACTAGAGCATATTCCCTAGGAATTGCTCTCATCTTTTGCACTGTAATTTTAATATTTCAAACTATTGTTTAAGACCAAGAAAAAAATTCAATTTTTTAAAGATTTCAAAGTGATACAACCTCTTAAGTACATCAAACTTTGTTAGGATCTACAAGATGCAACAGAATTACAAAAGCAATTGTTATCTTGTCTATTTCTTTTGTTATACCGTTAAAAAGACTGTTTTAGTTTTGTGTCTGTTGGAGAAACTGGCGTAGCAGCCAACTGGGTTAAGGATATACAAGGTGTCCCATTTGAATCGCTACATGCGATTGTCTCTAGAACTATTCATTATTTTAAAAAATGTTTTGATTGCAGGTGGATCAATTTGTAAGTTTGGATTATATAATTTTTTGTGCACGATTTGATGTGCCTCTGAATTCTGAATAAAAATGTATTAACCTACTCGTGTTGAAAAACTATTACTTTAGAAATAGTTGTAATAGAACAGATTAATAAAGTAATGCTAATATTAAATGAACATTGAAAAATATCCTTTTTAAGCCACGATGAAATTGAAAAGAAAATTCTTAACATTATTGAATTATTCAACTATTTCAAAATAAACTATTGAAATAATGAATAAATAATGAATGATGAATAAACTATTTAAATTTCTTTTTAATATTGTCTATTTGTCAACCATTCATTTATGACTATAATGACAATTTTAGATAAAAAAGGGAAAAAAGAATGTGTAGCTGTCATAATAATTTTTTTTTAAATAGTTACAATAAATTTATACGGCTTTCAGACATTTTTAAATTCAAGTTTAGCACGAAAAATGTTTGCATTCGCTTAATCGATTATCATCATTTTCACTGTTCATTAAAGATTACATCTTTGCAGTCACTGAAGTCAAAAGTAGATATACACAAGATACTATTGCAAAGGTTCGAAAGTTGAAAATTCTACCATAACAACCGTGTAGATAGAGTTGTCGTTCGCGTAATTTTGACAATATCTGCGGGACATTCAATGACATTCCTCGCAAAGCAATGTAAATGTGCGACTCACGAGCTCCATGAATGTGCGATGTACTTGTAGTATGAGAGATCGGAGCCCATGAAATGCGCTTGTAAGAGACTTCGCACCGCATTTAGACGGCCAAGGTTCGAAACGAGCAAAGAGGTCAGAACTACTACATAGCCGATTGTCTAGATTGGCTCGAAGATAAGTTGCATTCCTTAAAGAAGATGCATTATATTGCAACATTAAATCAGTTTCATATTATTAGTATTTCTAAAGTCGAAGAACGAGTCGAATTAATGTTACAGCCTAATACCTTACGCCTCACTGTGTATTTGAATTACATTGTAATCCAATTCCATTGTATCTGAATTACATTGTGATCCAATTCCATTGTATCTGAATTACATTGTAATTTAATTCCATTGTATTTGAATTATACATTGTAATTCAATTCCATTGTATTTGAATTACATTGTATTTTAATTGCACTCGCAATTAAAGTAATTAGTAATTGAATTAACCGAAAGGTTTGAATTATTTAATTGGATTACGACGTAGTTGAATTACAATGTAATAGCATTAGCACAACTCTCCGTGTAACTAAAGTAGAAGTTTCAAGCTTCAAAATGAACGTGGGTTTTATCGTTCTAAGACTCGTTTCTACGAAATCAAACGAAGTTCAAACGTTGATGGCTTGTCGAAAATCGAAAATTCATTGTACACAGACTATCTGGAGCCAGTGCACGCAGACCATTAAATTATTCCCGAGTAGAAAACCCAGGGCGACGAAAACTCGCCGTTTGAGAAATAGAAACACGAGTCCAAGCATCGCGCATCGGTATAAACGAAATTTTCGGAGGTTGTGCATCACGACATCCTGGAACGTGACAGCGAGAAGAATGAAAGTAGCAAAGAAATATCGAGCACAAGAGTTTGCGGATCGGCTGAAACGTCAGGGGTCCAGAAAACTCCATCTTCGCTGGGAGGGGTGGACAACAGGCGAGACGGCGCCACCGAGATTTTCGCGAATATCCGAAGGTCGGAGCAAACAGCCACCGAAAAACGACGAGAAATTGATTGAAGCAATTAATGCGCAAAAACAAATGTCGATCAAACAGTCGTCGCTAATCAGATGAAGCTAAGTCAATTTTTTCCAAAAAAAGAATAAAACAGTTTAACTCTTTTCTAGTATGATTTGGTGATCTATTTTCTAGGTAATGAGTGAGATCCAAACATTTGATTCATTCAGATGCTCAGACAATATTCCGACGTTTTATACAGAATGTCCGATTGTAATCTATAAATGAAGATATGTATCTCGTTAATTACATACTATATAAAAACTGTTCCCCATATAAAAATGAAATGGTCTCCAGGGATCTACCAGATGACATAATTAATTTTTTCTATACGTGGATGTGTACGGGGTAAATGAAGGTCAACTTTGTTTTTCAACCCTTGACTTAAGTCCATTGTTCTTATTTTGCACATTGATAATGAATGAATCCAACTTGGACAGTTCGATGTAGTTCGTGTATTAAAAACGTTCCCTTCTTTTACAATTTTTCTAATATTTATATTGTCCCCACAGTAGTCCCACAGACCGGGAATTGATAACAAAAAAAACTATTTTTGTATTTTTCTAATAATTATATTGTCCCCACAGTAGTCCCACCGACCGGGTATTGATAACAAAAAAAACTATTTCTGTCATCTATAATAGTTATTGGTAACCAACAACTATTTTTGTCACTTATAATACATATTGACAACCAAAAACTATTTTTATCATACATACTACTTATTGGTAACCAAAAACAATTTCTGTTATTTACTATAATTATTGGTAAGCAGAAACAATTTCTGTCATTTATAGTAGTTATTGGTAACCAACAACTATTTTTGTCACTTATAATACATATTGACAACCAAAAACTATTTTTATCATACACACTACTTATTGGTAACCAAAAACAATTTCTGTTATTTACAATAATTATTGGTAACCAGAAACAATTTCTGTCATTTATAGTAGTTATTGGTAACCAAAATCATTTTCAGCAAAAGTTTAATGGTTTCGCTTTCATTCCCTCTCGTTTCGGTTACAACAGTTATAGTCTCTGATTAGGGGCCGCGTCGAAAAACCGCAACAAACGAGGATAACGCTGTCGAAGCCAGAGCGTCGGATAGATAGTCGCGCGTAAAATCCATAACCGAGACGGAAGATAGAGGGCACAGGTCACGCGAGTGCGAATGAATTAAAGAAAAAGGAAGTCGGCTGAGGAAGGGTCAGAGAGGAGAGAGGGGGAAGGGAAGAATAAATAAAAAGCAGAGGGAGGGAACGGAGAGGGAGGAAGAATAAATAAAAAGCAAAGGGAGGGAACGGAGAGGAAGGAGAACGGAGAGAAGAGTTTAAGAAAAGAGAGGAGAGCAACGAGAGGGCAGCAACGTTCGACGAGAACCGCCGGGATCGACGATGTGGAGTGAAGGAGAGACAGAGAGACAGCGGTTGGACAGGGTGAGAGAGGCAGAGAGACAGAACGAGAGAGTGATAAAGAGAGCGAGATACAGGGCGAGAAAGAGAGAGAGAGAGAGAGAGAGAGAGAAGGACAGGGGTTCAAGAGAGCCAAAGGAGGTGGGCGCTGGCGGCGTTATGACGGGCGCCGGGGGTGGCGCCGCGACGCTCTGGCGCCTCCGACGCCGAGACGCTCCAGTGATGTTGGCTCCATGCACCTACACATCTCCACCTGTCCGTCGCGTCCCCTCTACCGCGATATTCACGTACACTTAACTACGCGGTCGCAATGAGAGTTTGAGATTCTAGTTCCCACATGTATACGCGTGCATTCTGCCCGCGCCCTCTAACCACCGACGACGGCCGCCCCATCCACGCCCTCCACCCGCATTCACGCACACGGGCTGCTTGTGGGATTAAAAGAACATCGTGGCAGAACCGAAATCCGTTCTCGATTTTACGATTCAACAACGGGAAGGTCCACCGGTCGCCGATAATCGGACGCCGCGCAGTAGGGTAGGAGCCCACAAAACCTGGCATAAATTATACAGCTTCTTTTTTCTTTTTGCCAAATTAACGCATGATTGAAGTATACTAACGTAAAACAATAATAAAAGAGGCAAAAATAATCAGATTCGTCTTTATTAACATAACTAATTGGCTTATAATCATATAACATGATACTGATCATAAACTTGTAATTCATAACGTTTGCAATTATTAATATTGATGTTATAATTACAGAAATTTGTTATGTTACACTTCATCTGTTGAAGTCAGATCCTCCGGGAACTACAATTCAGCACAAAAAGATAGCGCACTTTAAAATTAACGTAATTTTTATCTATTTAACGGTGCAACTAAAGTTAGTTTGCTATACAAACTTGCAAAATATCGCTATAAACGTACGCAAATGGAATAGAATGGAATTATTCCAGTCAAAACAGTTTTATTTGAAAATGCAGAATTTTTGGGGAAATATACTGGAACAAAGTGGCAGCACATTCAATTATAATGCTTATTAATATTAATATTAATGCTTAATATTTTGTGGCTCCTCGTTTATATTTAATAACGATTTAAAAAGTTTTTTAATAGCATTCTGCTCTAATTGCTCCCACTCGTCTTGAATACATTTTTTCCCGTTCGACGATGTTTCGAAATTGTCCGCAATTTCCATATACAGCTCGGTCAAGATTTCCCCGACAATTTTCAATGATATTAAGGTCGAGTGACCTGGCTGGCCGATCTAAAGCGCGAATTTTTCCTCGAGGAAAGTACTCTTTTTACTACTTTCGCATCGAGTTCAGCATTATTCGGATTGTTTCGAATAAATATTTATCTACGAAAAATACTTTATTCGAATAATTCGAAAAAATAATATGCAACAAATAATAAATGAAATAACACTTCATATCCTATCATTTTTATTCAAATCAATTATTTGCTATATGAATTCCTGTACGAATAAATTCTTATTCGAATGAATTCTTTAACTAAATTGTAAGAACCATAAGTTGGATGATAAAGTAATTTCTTTTCTAATAATTACAACAACTTGACAATAACGTAATCACCTTGTTAAATTCTTTCAGCGTATTTATAATTTTGTCAATATTCCTTCATTCTCGTAATATTTCTACTCTTTCAAATTGCATCTACTAATTTCTATCGTAAATACATAAAATCCACAGTCTAATAATTAGATTTCATCTACGTATCTTGCAAACAATGTAGGAAATTTTTATTTTTCATAAAGATCCGCGATCTAATAATTAAATATATCACTATAATTAGGCATGATCCTTTGATTGAAATATTACGAATAGACGATGGTTGTTTATGCAAAACAAAGATTGCCTCCACCAATTACAAGATGCAGAAGCCACGTAGATATTTATAACGTTTTTAAAAAATTTTGATAACTTGATAAATAATGCAACAGTATTTTTAGATTCTTCAAATGTTTCTACTCTTTTGTATTTGATCAACTCGTTTTTGTCATAAATGCAACAAATCGGCTGTCCAATTACAAACGGATCATACAAGTTTTACAGTTCTATTACGATAAGAATTCAATTTTTTAAGTTGTTCAAGATGTTCGTTCGCAAACCCGTTATCTTTGTCCTCAAGAATCCTGTATCATTGACAAATGGAACATTCTATTACGGTATTTGAGGCCCAAATACTGCGTTCATATATCGTTCGGTTACTGCATCATTATGTTCGGTTTTTTCAGTGATGGAAGAAAGGCAGACTAAAGTGACGTTGATTGATGTCGAACTAAACTCCATCCAAAAGGAAGTTTAAATATCGAAATAAAAGAATAAAGTTTAGATTCCTAGCATTAAAACAGTACCTATGCGGTAGGTATATAGTACTTATAATTAGACTACAATGGATTTATGATACAAGTGATTAAATGAAATTAACACAATGAAGACATGAAAGAACTTAGGGGCCTAGTAATGTTACTATGGACTTATTAAAATCATTAAGATCAGAAGTCATTGATTATTGAACTCCTGCCTCTTGCAACTATGCAAAAAATTTGTTACTTTTATGCAGTCTAAAAAATGTACAATATAACATACCTGGAAACATTTCGATTTGCATTTGTTGCAAATCACAGGAACCACTAAATTAATCATTTTAGTGGGTCGAAATTGATATATGGATACTCAAAAATTCTTTATACCTTTCTATTGTTTCAAACTGCAGGTGTTCATTTCTGCAGTAAATACATCAAATCCGCAACCTCTACAAATATTTCTTGAATTACATTAATGAAATTTTTACCACTTTGTAAATACTATTTCAACTATTATTGTTACTAACCATCGAATAATCAATTTACAATAAATTGAAAATATTCAATACTTAATTAAATTACTAGGTGAGGAATTAAAATATTAGAATCAATTAATTTATTCATACAAAACCTCACAATAGCACCGATAGCCAACCTATAGAAGTGATAAAAATACGTGCTAAAAATATAAAAGTATCTCAACAACGACGTAGATAATCCATCTTCTTTTGTTCTTTACGCGGTCGCCGTACAGATACGTTGGGAAGAGCCGTTTAAATTCCACGCATTTATGTTTGTGCATAATTTTGCTAAATTAGGTGTGAAAATGTGTGCTGCTACTAGTAAAAATTTAAATTTCATCGCAACTGGATACATTTACTTGTCAAATCAGTATGTGCATACATTGACTAGTGAATGTCCGCATTTACTGAATTAGTACATTCACGGACTGTTTCCTCGGGTCAATTACCCTAAATCTTTGTTATTCCGCATGTGTCGCGGCTAATCTAGCAACGCAGTGAAAATTTAATATCGGATACACGACACGTATGTCTTTACCGTCAAAAACGTTGTTTCGTGTTAGCGAACGTTAATGATTTCTGTAATAATGCATATCATAAATGATCTATTTAACAATAATACTGTAGCACATCAGTAAAAAAAAAAGTATCAAACTTTCCATAAAAAAATTCAATTCTAACGTTTCGAGTCACATTTACTTCAACGATAGATTCGTGAGACCCACCCATTTGGATAATTCCAAACATTTTAATTTATAATTATATAAATTGCAAACATACATTTAATGTGATGAAATCATTAATATGATAAAATCATTAATATAATAAAACCGCTAATATAATAAAATCATTAATATAATTAAACCGCTAATATGATAAAATCATTAATATAATAAAACCATTAATATGGTAAAACCACTAATACGATAAAATCATATTAAATGTAGGTTTATACATGCACCATTATAATTTTAAATTTATTTAAAAGGTTA